GACTGTACCCCAGTGAGAGCCAGTGTGTGTGGGACTGTACCCCAGTGAGAGCCAGTGTGTGTGGGACTGTACCCCAGTGAGAGCCAGTGTGTGTGTGCGAATCCTAAACTAATAAGAATGCAGCAATATGGGTAAAGGACTAAAAGAAGATTTTGAATAATTGATGTTCAAGATTGAACAAGAAACTGCATCATTTCCTCCATCAGGTTTTATGAAATGAGCAGAATTCCCCATTCCGAGTGAAAGCTGTGAAAGTGTTCAGCAGTGGATGAACTTCCTGAGAGGCTCTGTGTTCTAGGCAGTTCCTGCCACCCAGTCCAATGTTTGATATTGATCTCAGTCCCCTCCTCGATTGTCTCTGACTTTTCCTTCAGTCCCCCAGGGGTCAGACATCTGGACTTCGCTTCATCTGAAAAGTGGAAGTTTCCACACCGAGTCAAAGAGAATGTGTGGTGTTTGACAGACAGGGATTGAGTTGCAGGTGGTGTGAACTCACTGCTGGTGGTTGAAGAATGTGAACATTCTGTAGGGTGGATCCTGGTTTGCAGTTTGAAATCTCTGAGAGGTCACTGGTTACTCAGTGAAAGAAGAAATTCTGTCTCTGCATTTGATCCAATCTTCACTGTGCGTCACCAATACAAAAATAACAATGAACATTTGCAAATGAGAGTCATGGACTGACAATATATCACCTGTATTGATCTTACAAAGAAGCTTTGAGGCAACAGGCTAGTCTTCATTGGCCACTGATAGAACATTACTTCATTAATACTCTTGGCAAATTATAAACACTATTTTATACAGATTTGTGCAAATGAAGGATTAAGATTGGAAAGTGAATGCTCACATCCTGACAATTCAAATCTTTATTTACAATGGAGTGTCCTGAAATTCCCTTCAGGGCTAGTTTAGGATTGGGTGCAGAGGTCAGGGGCAGTGTGTTACAAGACAGTGTCAACAACATGGATGTGAGATCATGCAGTTAGCCCAGAACAGAACACTGTCTTGTAACTCCTACACTATCATTCAATGCTAACACAGCCCTCATCACATTCCACCATCAGAGTGTCTCCTAATGTTATTACAATGCCATATATCACTGCGACCTCATCCCACAGCATTATCACACTGTGAGTTAACACTGTCCATCACTGTTCCACTGTCATTGTGACACAACCTGATCACACACACTCTTCACCCTGTCAGGTTCCTGCTCACTCTCTCACCCTCTTCTGTGGGTTGCCTGACACTTGATTGGGTTCCCATTTCGAAAGTGAAGGCGGTACAGCTTCAAAAAGGACTCTTTTCTGGCAATTAATCATTTTTTGTTATTTATTCATGGGATCAGGGCATCACTGGCTAGGCAGCATTTATTGCCCATCCCTAATTTCCCAGAGGGCAGTTAGGAGTTAACCACATTGCTGTGGGTCTGGAGTCACATGTAGGTCAGACCAGGTAAGGATGGTAGTTTCCTTCCCTGAAGGATTTTAGTCAACCAGATGGGTTTTTCCCAAAAATCAACAATGGATTCATGGTCATCATTAGACTTTTAATTCCAGATATTTTATTGAATTCAAATTCTACCATCTGCCTTGGCGGGATTTGAAGCCAGGTCCCCAAAACATTATCCGGGTCTCTGGATTAACAGTTCAATGACCACACCACTACGCCATCGCATCCTCCCCTCAAAAACAATTTTCCAAACCCCTGTGCCTCTGAGGAGATTGGTGAGGGGTCATTCGCAGATGAGAGCAGAGTTCAGGCTGAGGGAGGGAGGAGAGGTCTCAGGTTGTGAAACACTGATTAACCAGGTTAGAGTCAGGGCTGTGAGGCCCAGACTCTGGGAATTTGTTCCTCACTGTGAAACAAGTGAATTTGGAAAAGGGAAGAACCAAATTCAACCAATTCCCAAATATTTGATGTGAAACATTAACTTCCTGTTTCCACTAGAAACCTGAACTGGGACCCAGGGTCAGAACAGCCTTTAACACTAAATATCACTAACCTGTGACTCTGACCATTCGTGACCCATGGCCTGTACCATCAATGACCTCTGACCTCAACCATCAGTGAACCTGACCCAAGCTATCACTAATCCCAATTGTGAGTGGATATGAAAGTGAGCACTCACTGAGAATCCCCGTTAAACACTCCCAGGACAGGTACAGCACAGGGTTAGATGTAGAGTCAAGCTCCCTCTACACTGTCCCCCATTAAACACTCCCAGGACAGGGACAGCACAGGGTTCTCTCTTTACACTCTATCTCTCTAGACTCTGCAGAAGTGGCAGATGGAATACAATGTGGATAAGTATGAGGTTGTGCATTTTAGTAGGAAGAATAGAGATGTGGAATATTTTCTAAACAGGGAAAGGCTTCAGAAATCTGAAGCCCAAAGGTACTTGGGAGTCCCAGTTCAGGATTCTCTTAAGGTTAACATGTAGGTTCAGTTGGCAGTTAGGGAGGAAAATGCAATCAGAGTTAATGTTTCGGGTCTGGTGACCCTTTCTCAGAACTCAAGGGTCCCAAAACGTTAACTCTGACTTTTTCTTCACAGATGCTGCCAGACCTGCTGAGCTTTTCCAGCAACTTTGTTTTTGTTCCTGATTTACAGCATCCGCAGTTCTTTCAGTTTTCATTAAGGAAAATGCCATGTTAGCATTAATTTAAAAAGGTCAAGAATATAGGAGCAGAGATGTACTGCTGAGGCTGTATAAGGCTTTGGCCAGACCGTGTTTGGGATATTGTGAGCAGTTTTGGGCCCTGTAGCTAAGGAAGCATGTGCTGGTGTTGGTGGGGGTCCAGAGGAGGTTGACAAGAAAGATCCCAGGGATGAAGGGCTTGTCATATGAGGAGTGGTAGAGGACTCTCAGCCTGTACTCAATAGAGTTTAGGAGGATGTGGGGGGTTCTGAATGAAATGTACAGAATGCTGAGAGGCCTGGATAGAATGGACATGGAGAAGATGTTTCCACCAGGAGCAGAGATTAGCACCCAAGGGCACAGCCTCAGGATGGAAGGACAATCCTTTAGAACTGAGATGAGGACAAATTTCTTCAGCCAGAGGTTGGTTAATCTGCGGAACTCATTGCCACAGAGGGCTGTGGAGGCCAAGTTATTGAGTGTATTTAAGACAGAGATAGAGGGGTTCTTGATTGGTAAAGGAATCAAGGGTTACAGGGAGAAGGCAGGAGAATTAGTTTGAGGAACATGTCAGCCATGATCAAATAGTAGAGCAGACTCGATAGGCTGAATGGCCTAATTCTGCTCCTTTATCTTATGATGTTATGGTCTACACTCTCATCAAAATCTTCCAGAACAGGAATAGCTGGGGTTACATAATAAAACTTCCTCTACACTGTTCCCATCAAACACTCCCAGGACAAGGATGGCACAGGATAAACACAGTGTACAATTTAATTGATTTTATCCTCATCTTTTGATCAGGTCCAGATCTTGGACATTCTCCTGTTCCCTGTGGTTCAGAATCAGTTTGTTTCTGACCTTCTGTGTACAATGAATTAGCTGTCATTGTGGTTGTGAACCGAATAAAAGTGAAATATTTGTTGTTTGATTTGAGAGTGCCGCTATCTCTCTCCCTATCTGTCTCTCTCTGTCTCTGTCTGTCTCTCTGTATATGTGTCTCTCTCTGTCTGTCTTTCTGTCTGTCTCTCTTTCTCTCTGTCTGTCTGTCTCTGTCTCTCTGTCTCTCTCTCTGTATTGTTTTAACAATGTTTCACAGTCCGGTATCTGCAGGGATAACTGTGGTTGGGTATCTGCAGTTTGTGGCACTGGGAGGGACTAAGTGAGGAGCACAGCTGCTGTGTTAGCTGGGACCTATATCCGCAGCTCCACATCCTCTGGATTGTCTAAGGAGTGCTCGGTGCTAATGATGGAGGCTGAGGGTCCTTGGGAAACGTCGAACGGGGACACGGCTGGAGACCGAGTAGCCAATGGAGACAGTGAAGGGGAGAAGCTGGGTGACATGGCTGCTGATGTCATCGAGGCATCACTGGTGATGGGTGAGCGTGGCAATGCTGTCACATGACCGTGACTTCGGCTCACTGCCAATCGAGGAGGTACAGACATGGCACTGGGGTGAGCCACGGAGGTGATGAGTGGGGGAGGGTCAATTCGAGGTTTGGGGTCCACTTTGGGTTTGGATTGGAAGCTTTTGCGAGGGGCATTCTCGTCCTTGAGCCGGGCGATCTCAGTGAAGACACTGGCCAAGGGCTGGAACTGTGGGCTCCAGTTCAGGAGATAATCCCAGTTGTAGCTACCTCGCAGTTCCTCCTCACTGGCGACGATAGCAGTCAATGAGCCTTGTGCTGATGGGCGACCATCTTCAGCAAAGACATAGTCCTTGGTGTGACACACACCCAGGCCCAGGCCTGCTCCCATGTACCCACCAGCACCATCCTCCCGGTACAGCTGCTGTTGCCCTGGCAACAAGAGGCCACTGCTTTTCTTGTGTTTAAACCAGTCCATGCCTGGGTCAGTGGAAATATCGGACATTTGGTCAGCGTCCTGCTGGATTCCTGAGTCTGGGCCACGAGCTGATACATGCTCCTGTATGGAGGAGGACAGGCTACTGACACGAGGGTACTCATTGATCATTCGAATCTCATCATCCTCTGCTGCCTCTGCTGAGCCACGGCCACTGGAGTGTGAGGGATCGATGGAATCTCCCCTGGCATATGGAGCTCCAACCCCTGGGGCCTCGGCTGTGTACCCAGGCAAGGCCTGATGGTATATACGGTCACTGCTCAGTAAGGTAGTATCCTCAGTTCCCAGTTTCTGGAAGCTGGGCTCTGGCATGTTGTTGAGCTGTGAACTGCTGCTTGCCTCGTGGCTCTTCCTCCTCCTGGCTCGGATGATCACCAGGGCCAAGCCGATGACAGCAAGTATCCCTCCAACTCCCAACGACGCTGCTAAGGCAACTATCAGCATCCAATTGAGCTCAGCTGTTAATCCAAACGAGGTCTGAGTGATGTCAATATTGGCCTTGGTGGTGGAGAATCGGGAGGACACCAATGGGCTCTTGGCCTGGATGGTCAGGGCCATTGTCCGAGTTTCTCTCTTTGACCGCTTGCCCTGGTGTCTCTGACTGTCCATTCTGAGGATGATGTCACCTGTAGTTTTGTTCACCTCAAAATACTGTGATGGGGTTAACAGTGAGTACAGGACAATCCCATCGAGACCTCCATCCTCATCTGTAGCTATCACTTGCCCAATGCTCTGGCCCTTTTTTGCATTCTCTGGGACAACAAAGCTATACTCTGGGTTAACAAAGATAGGATCGTACTCGTCCTCCCCCGTCACATGGACCTGGACAGTGACAGTGGCTGAGGAGTTCCCAGAATCCACTGCTTTCACCATAACCTGAAAGGAGTTCACCTTCTCAAAATCAAACGAGAGTTTAGTGCGAAGCTCTCCGGTCAGCTGGTTAATGTCAAACATTTCTTTGTCTTTCCCGAAGCCTGTCAGCGAGATAGGCTGGTTGATGATGGAGTATTGTAACTCACCAAATATTCCACAGTCAAAATCAATGGCATGGACTTTGGTCACGAGCGAGTGAGCTGGCAAATTCTCTCGGATGTTGGCACTCAGTGTTTCCATCGGGAAGAAGGGCTGATTGTCATTCACATCCTTTAGCTCCACTGTCAATGGGACCAGAGCAAAGTTGGGCCGAGGGCCCTGGCTATCGGTCACCTGGATAATGACCACATGCCGAGACCATGCCTCTCGATCCAGGGCTTTGCGCAGTTTGACAATCCCCGTTCTCTGACCCACCTCAAATTGTGTGTCTTCATCACCTGAGCTGATGCTGTATTGCAACACCGAGTTTCCCCCAGAATCGAGATCGTGAGCTGCCACTTGGACAATCTCAGTCCCTACGGCAACATCCTCGCTCACCATAACTTTGTATTGAGTACGGTTAAAGATAGGAGCGTTGTCATTGACATCTTGTACAGTAATGATGGCTGAGACCAGTGCACTCCGTTGAGGGACCCCATAATCGGATGATGCGATGGTTAAATTGTACTTGGTG